AAACAAAACAAAACAAAACAAAACAAAACAAAACAAAACAAAACAAACAAACAAAAAACAATTCTAGGAAAAAAAAAGAAATGTGTTCCTTTGGTATACTTTTAAAACTAATTTTCTTTATCACATTTGAAATGTGTCTAATATTTTAGACATTTGTGTTACTAGCTTGTTCATTTTAACATATGATATCAAAAACAAGTAACATATAACAGAAGTCCACAATTTGACATGCGACCTTCCTTTTTGTTCTTTGTGAAACAGTGATTATTAAGTTCATGACAAACATGAAAATGTTAAAAAAAAAAAAACTAAGAAGACATCACACTTGTGTACTTCTTATGTTATCCTATACCTGAAATCTTTTGAAAAGTAAAGAATTGTAAGAAACTTTATTTTGGTGTTGGGTGGTGGGGCCCAACAGACTAGGGATTTAATTGGAGAGGAGACAGTTTGGAGATCACAGATTAACAGCTCATCTTAATTTACATTTTTCACGAGTTGTCAGGGGTAGTGAGAGATGAAAAGATTTGCCCAGGGTCACACAGTCAGTATATAAGAGGGGCAGGACATGAACTCAGGTCTTAATGACCCTAAGGTCAATTCTCTATCTACTACACCATGCAGACTTTCACTTAAAAAGCTTAATAGTCATTTAATATAAGATCTTATTTCTTCCATGTAGTAGACATTTAAAAACATTGTTTTTTGAGGAGGCCTCATATTACATTTAGAAGGGTTGCCCTTGGCAAATAGAAAGGGCATCTCTTCATTCAATACCAGAGTAAGGGAGGAGATAGTGGTGGAAGATATCTGAATGATGTGAGATGAGTATTTGAGGGAGGGAGCAGGGAAGAACTCCGGGTGATTGGTCTCAATTTTTGTTTAACAGGTAGAATTTTACTATATTCCAGATCCAGATCCTTCATTATTGGTATTTTCAAATGTATCAGGGAAGAAGGGATTATCATTTAGGGAAAAAAAATAGTTCTGAGCCAATTTTAGAAAGGATATTACTAGGCCATGCTCCATTTTTTAGGTGATCATAATAGCTGCTGAGAGAAGACTGATTAATTGAAAGGAAAATGGTCTCATTCAGAGATCGAAGAAATGATCAGGAAGATCAATTATAAAGATAGAAAACTTCATTTGAGAACTGTCCTAGGTTAATTTTTCCTTTTCTGTTTCTAACCCTAAATCTGTTTTTATCATGAGAAACCTTGGGTCTGAAAATAGGAGAATTCTTGTCTCTGCGTTTTTGGACGTTGATGACTCTGGAGGAGAGTGTGAAGCTGATGACTTTGTGTAGTTATGCCTTGCTCAAGGCCAATTCACGTGCAAGTCAAGACATCGCCCTTATGATACATTGGTCCTCTTCAAGAACAAAGGACAGACAACAACAACAATAATATTTAGATCCTTGAACACGACACTCCATATCCTGTCTCCCTAATAATAAGAGTAGTACTAGCTAAGATTTATATAGTGTTTACTACGTACCAGGCACTATACTAAGTGCTTTACAAATATTACTTCATTTAGTCCTCACCACACTCCTGAGAAATAGGTGTTATCATTATGACCATTTTATAGTTGAGGAAACTGAGGCAAACAGAGATACGGTGACTTACCCAGGAACATATAGCTAGCACAACTGGATTTGAAATAATTTCTTTGTGAATCCAGGCCCATTGCTCTATCCACTACATTATCTAGCAGACTCCATGTATGGCTATGCTCCATACCTGAAATGTGCTGCTCTCTCACCTCTGTCTCTCAGCTTGCCTGATTTCCTTCCAGATTCTTTTCAAGTTTCACCTTTTCAGGAGCTCCTTCCCAGTCCTTCTCACTGTTAGTGCCTTCCCCTCTGAATTTACTTTCCACCTATTCTGTGTATATCTTGTGTCTAGGTAGTTAACATATTGTCTCTCCTGTTAGAATGTATGCCTCTTACAGATAAGAACTTTTCTTTCATTTCTTTGTTTCCCCAGAATTTAGAACAGCACCCAGCATATAATAAGCACTTAACAAATGCTTAATATCTGTAAAGTACCTAGCACAAAGTCTGGCATATAGTGGATACTGTATAAATGTTTATTCTCCTCCCTTTCCATTGCTGACTGACAGAATATACTTACATTCCAGAAGTTCAATCTGCTGATGAACCAGTATTTTGTCTAACTGTTGGGATAAAACAAAGAGTTATTAAAGATAAATGAAACAGAATTAAAAATCAAATTCAAACTAAAAGATAAATTTGTTTTCCAGTTAACCAAGGACAACCCTTCACTCAGAGGAAAGGGGATACAAGGGTAGAGATAGCTACAGTGAATAATGAATATCCAGGAGTACAAACCTAGACTCAAAGGAATTCTACCATCCCTTGTATTTATGTGACCTATTCACAAAAAAAGAAGAATCAGAGGCAATAGAGTTTAGTCACCCTAGTTTGGTACATCCAATAGAAAATTCCCTAGCCCCCTAAGCAACTAGGGATTATCCTTCCTTAAGGCCAGGTTTCGATAGGGGAGGAGAGAATAGATAAAGAGGGAGTTGAATGAAGATGTCCAAAGGTGAGAAAGCAAAAAAAAAAAAAAAAGATAGAGGAACCCGATGACAATTTTTTTTCATGTTTCAAAATTTTAGTCCAGTATTAGTCCTGTCATCATCCTCAGCATATGTAAGTATTTAAGCTCACTTATTCTCCCTCCAGAGAATACATCAAAACGTCCCTGAAGGCAGGGAACAATTCATAGATAGAGACAGATCTATATCGGTTTCCACATATTTCTATCTCTGTCTGTCTATCTATCTATCTATCTATCTATCTATCTATCTATCTATCTATCTATCCATCTATCTATCTATCTATCTATCCATCTATCTATCTATCCATCTATCTATCCATCTATCTATTTATCTATCTATCATCATGTAGAGAACCTACAGCATAGAGTCTGGCCCATATCTGATAACAGGTATATGTCGAATGAATTAATATTGACAAATGTAGGTGACAAATGTAAAAGCACCTGTCTCCATTGCTGATTCTTTTTCCTCTTCTTGACCACTGTGGATGTCCCCAAAGTCCCTACTCTCATGTGTCTACTTCTCTGTCTCTAGCATCTCAGTCTCTTGGTTTCAGCTATGCTGAAGTGGTCTACTCAATCTCCATCCCTCACCCTGACTCTCACTCTAGGCAACTATGTCCATCTGTCTATGGTAACATCTCTACTTGTCTATTCTTTGGTCAATTCAGAGTCAACATGTCTTAAACAACAACAGCAATAATAATCATAATAGCTCACATTTGTGGCTTTTAGGTTTGCAAAGTACTTTACATGTGTTATATCCTCAAAACATCTCCTTTAAGATAGGAATTATTATCATCCTTATTTTACAGGTGAGGAAACTGAAGCTAAGTAAAATGACATGCTCAGGGTAAGCTAGTTAAGTGTCTGAAGCAGAATTTGAACTCAGGTCTTCCTGACTCCAAATCTAACTCTCTGTCCACTTAGTCTTCTCCCCTGAAACTGACTTTCTTTCCTAGCCTTCCAATCTAGAAACTTTGGAGTCATAAGTAAGTCAGTTATGAATTTATTAAGGGCCTAGGATAGGTCAGGTGTTGTGCTAGGCCTGAGGGAGACAAAGAAAGGCAAAAACATGGAGTCTATTCTCAAGAAGTAGCTCACATTCCAACAAGGTAGACAACATGAAAACAACTCTGTATACACACAATATAAATCTAGAAGGGAAGTCGTGGGGGAAGACAGAAGAGGAAAGACCAGGAACGCCTGCCTATAGTAGGTGGGGTTTAAGTTGAATCTTGAAAGAAATCAAGAGGAAGAAGTGAAGAGCAAGAGCATTCTGGGTATGGAGGATAGCCAGTGAAAAGTCACAGAGTTGTTTTTAACTCTCTCTTATTCCTTACCTCTTATAATTAATTTCACCAAGTCCTGTCATTGCTTCCCACAAAATGTCCCAGTAACATTGAGAACTAAGTTGTATATTTATCTAATATATGCATATTTAATACACCTTAGAGTGAATGAACTAAGGATTGAGCAGATTCAACTACCTGAGACAGGAATTCCAGACCAGGTGGGCAGTTTGGGACTGGAGGTGGTGCTGGCATCCATGTTATCTGGGGAGGTTGAATTGGGTTCACATTGATGCCAGGCTGATACACAACTGGCGGGCCACCACTTCCATACATGGAAAAGCCACCAGGCTGATTCAGGCCTGGAAAGCCTGTAGGGCCAGGGCCTGGATAGCTTGCGATGGGATAGCCAACTGTTACAGGAGGTCCTGAGTATGAAAGAATTAGAATTTTAAAGAGAAATAATTAAAGTCATTTTAAAGATGAACTCTATACAATGTTCAAAATGTAGAATGCAATGAAACTTTATTATGACACAAGCTATTTTTACACAATGTTAGAAAGGCTCTAGATCAACACGTCTCCCACTATCCTTAAGAGTGCGACTATGCTTATTCATCTTTCTAGCTCTCCTAATGTCTAACATAATGTTGTACACAACATGATTGCTTAGTGTTTGTTAACTAAATTAATGAATAAAATAATATGTGGATGTCTCTATTTTATATCTCTTTATGGGTCTATTAAACTTTGAGAGAACCAACTACAGAGAGAAACAGGTGGAGCAGAAAAGAACTTTGGGCTTGGAATCAAAGGACCTTAGTCCAAATCCTGACTCTCTCATTTACTACCTGTATGGTCTTGGAAAAGTCACTTATACTCTCTGAGCCTCAGTTTTCTTAGCTGAAAAATGGGGAGAATTGGATTAGATAATACATAAGGTTTCTTCCAGTTCTAAGATTCTATGAAATACCCAACTAGGAAAACAATATATTGTGCAAATATTTTATTTAACACTACTTGAAATCTTAGTTGTGAAAAAAATCCAACTACTTATTATCATTATATTTAAGCAATATTGTTATATAAGCTATGAAAATTAAGTGTTCTGGAACAAATGGCTAAAATCTTAAAGGATACCAAAGGCTTAAAAGTGAATATTTATTTTAGGTTCAAAATTATGGTTCTTTGTATAGTCATTGTATTGGATGGCTTTGTTTAACTCTCTTTCTTTGTTGCAAGCAGAGATTTAGAATAAACTAGGAAACAACTACAATGTGATTAACAAAAGTTTCCATAATTTTTCCCCAAAATTGTTCTTTGAATTCTGAGTTTCAGACTACTTCATTTGGGTTAAGAACGATATACCCCCTTATGTTTCTGCCTGGTTACTACCAACAAAACAAATTTCCATACTGCTGAAAAAAATAGTAAGGACATCATTGCTTTTCATGAGTCCCCAATGAGTTGATGCCTTGTATACTATATACAGATGATATAAGATTATATAGTTTATCTATGCATACTCACAGCTGTACATCACTGGAAACTGTGAGAAAAGGGTTTTGGAAATCTTAAAGAGCTATACAAATCTGAGTTATTATGATACATGTACATTTGTACATACATTATATTTACAAGATCAGTCTGACAACTTTCATATGATCCCTCTTAGAGATTAAAATAATAAGTCATATAATTCAGAGAGCCCATTTCTCCTTCATATATAACTAAATTTCACTGAAGTATGTTTTACTACTCATTTACTTCTATTTTAGTATTTTAATAATTAATTCTTAGTATTTTCCTCTTTAAATATGGTACTAATATTTTTTTCATTCCTAAGTGTGATTTCTAATATATTTTGAGGAAAAAACAGCATGGAAACATACCTCTAGGCCTAGAATTCAACTCAATAACATCACCAAAGACACAAATTGGCTTCTATAAGCCTTTGTGCTGGCCACACCAATCTCTGGACCGGCATTAAAATGAACTCCACAATCTGTCTCCCTTGATATGGAGCTGCCAACAGTATTTGTAATTCCTACTGTTAAGGCTCCTCTCTCTTTACAATACCTAAGACACATTAATGCATCTGCTGTCTCTCCTGATTGACTGATGAAAAAGCAAACATCATCTCGAAAAACCGGAGTGTTTCTATCCAGAAAGTCACTGGCAAGTTCCACCATAATAATTGAAAATATAATTACAGAAATTAATTTTACCAGTTTTTAAAGGGACCATGTATTCCAAAAGATGTCTTTTAGAATCATAGATACATACCAGCTTATACCACTAGATGGCGAATACAGTGAATCTTTTTTTTTTTAAGTGGAATCTCAGATGGAAACAGTAAATCCATGTTTTTAATGGAATTCTTTACAAAATAGTTTTTTTAAGCTTACAGAGCTACAGTTCAGATACATATTTCTCTAAAATATAAATTATTATTTTAAATAAAAAGGATTTATCAATTGATAATTGATAACATTTTTCTAAAAGATAAACTATTGTTTTAAATAAAAAAGGATTTATCAATTGATGATTCTAAAAACCATATACAGAATTAATTATCAGGTCTTTTATAGGATTATTTTAGCTTAATTTTATATAGACAGCGTGTGTGACATATTAAGCCTAGGAATCCATCCAAAAAAGGAACATAAAATTGAAATGAGAATACCAGGGGCAGCAGCTCCATCTGCTGACATATACATACTTTATATCTTAATATAAATGTCTAAATGTAAATTACTACAGCTGTTCAGAAATTGAGAAGGAAATAAGTGCCCCACCCTGCACTGTTCATTGCTAATCTAACCATCACAGCTGCTTTCATGAATTTCCTTCTTTGCTGCCTGTGCCAAATATAGTATATATTATTATTATTAAGAATAACAATAAAGTACATTTATAGTGTGCTTTAAGTTTTACGGAGGACTTTCCCACACAACAACCCTGTGGATTTGTTACTGTACATAATATTTATTCCTGTTTTACATAATAAGAAACTGAGTCTCTAAGAAACTGACCAGCCACATAGCTAGATTTCCTGGTCCAAGTTCTGAGTCTTTTTTATTATACCAAAGAGAAAAATTGAACTAGGAGTTAGACCAATAGACTCTACTCTAGAAGTGTAAGGGAAAGTAAGGAGGGGTGGGATGAAGCCAGCAGAGGCTGAGATACATATTCTCTTGGTTGGGTGTAACTTAGTAGTTATGACAGGCAGTTGAGGATAAAACTTGGAGGTAACCTGGGAAGGAGGGTTATGCTGACTATTGCCTGAATATGACATAAGGAAAAGCATATGTGAAAACATTATATTCCAAAGCACATTGCAATGGTTCAGAAATCTCCTAGTCTACTGACCTGATTCTAGAGCTGAGACAATTAGCTCTGCACCATTAGTCTAGGGCTTCTCTTGTCCTTCTAGTGTCAAGGCTGGGAGTTTTTAACTTTTTTTTTTTTTGATATTATGATACCTTGGGCAGTGTCTGATAAAGCCTATAGACCTCTACTCCATAGTTTTTAAATGCATAAAATGTTTTTAAATGTTTAAAATACATAGCATTACAAAGGAAATCAGTTATATTGAAATATAGTTATCAATGTTTTTGTTTTTGTTTTTGATTTTCAATTGAAGGCACCCTGATTAAGAACCTTTGGAATCCATGGCTCTAAACCTTAAAATCTCTGAATTCTAGGTTGGTTCAAATGCATATCATTACTGCCTTTTATTTTCACAACATAGTCATTTCTGGATGTCCCTCCCCATCGACCACCCCCAAATTGTACCCTACCTTGAATGATTCAATTAATAAGTGTTTGTTAAGAACTTGCCAAGTAGTGTGTGAGATACTAGGAATACAAGTACAATGACTGTTACAATCCTTACTACTGATCCTGCTTTTTTGGGGTCATCTTGGCCAATTGGCCGAGTGTCAGGTTAAACCTCAAAATTTTTAAAAGTGCATTTATATTATTAGTGATTTGGTATATGTCTTCATATATTCATCAATAGTTTCTAATATACCTTTTGAAAAGTGTTTGCTCTTATAACTAAGTCCTGATAAGAATAAATGAATCCTGTAAAGCGGTCATATTATTTGAATGTACACTGTATATTTCCACTGGATTGTACTCAACTAGCACCCTTTGGCCACTTATCTGTTAAAGAATGTTGCTGCATGATATTTGTTTGCCTTATATATTTCTGCTCCAGCAACCTTGTCATTCTGAATGATCCTTCTCTCCCTACAGTCTTCTCTTGCAGGTAAACCTTTATGTTTCTGTGATCCCTCCACATAATTTGTCATTTCTTCCCAGAATCTCCATCTTAAGGAGGAGCCCCTAGGCTAGCCGTGTTCATTCATTCTTTTCGAGGCCCTACTTTTGACTCTCCAGAATTCTTTCTCCCCCATGCCTCTGCCTGCATGGGTCCCACCCCCAGTTTTTCTGCTAATTTGTTTTTTAATGTGTCTTCTTCCACGCTCCCACCCCCAGTTTTTCTGCTAATTTGTTTTTTAACGTGTCTTCTCCAATTAGAATATAAGCTCTTCAAGGGGAGTGACTGTCCTTCTTTTATTTGTATCATCACTTAGTACAGTACTGGGCACACAGTAACTGCTTACTAAATAGTTATTGATTTATTGGCCTGAATTATCTTGGCTATTAGATATGTGTTAATGATACATGAAACAAGGATTTTCCCCTCCACTCAACAGTTTCTTATTCAACCTCACTGATTTTGTTTCTGCAAAAGTTTTTTTTTTCAATTTTGTGAAATCCAAATTATCTATTTTATCTTTCATAATCATCTCTGTCTCTCTTGGTTAAGAACTCTCCCCTTAGCCATATTTGTGAAAAGCCTTATAATCATGATGAAGATAATAATAATACAATAATAATATAATAATATAATTGTGTTGTTATATATTAAAATATTATAATGTAATATGATACAAGCTAACATTTATATAGTGCTTGAAAGTTTACGAAGTGCTTGATAAAAATTATCTCATTTGGTCCTCACAACAACCCTTGGGATAGCGACTATTATTATCATATCCATTTTACAGATGAGGAAAGTGAGGCAGAGATTAGATGATTTGAGTGTGGTCACAAAGCTAGTAATTGTTTGAGGCTAGATCCATGCTCAGGTTTCCAAAATTCCAGGTGTAGCATTCCTCTCCACCATACTGCAAAGCTCCCTCTAGGAACCTTCTTCTGTTCTCTACTTTTTATGTTAATGCTGTGACCTTTAAAATTGTATTATACTATATAAAGTACTGGTCTAATTCTCATTTTTGCCCAATTGATTTTGAGTTTTTTCCATAGTTCTTGTCAAATATCATTTGGAACATTTTGTTCCATATCATGGAATATTTTGTTCTTTAGACAATATGCATGAAAAAAGATATTATACCTAGACCAGAGCAATTCATTAACCATGGCCAACAATACATTGACAATGACAATAGTGAGGTGAGAAAATGTATCTCCTTGAAATCTTTACCATTAATCCTAAAACTGAGCCAAGGGAAGAAAAAAAGTTACTCTTCAGAAGACTGAACACACCTGGTTGATAATGAGAAGTGTAGGTAGGAGGGACTTCGGGTATTGGGTTAGGTGATTTTTCTGTATCATCTATAGGTACAGTAGGACTTGTGGAAGCTAGAAAAAAAACACAATTGTAAAAAAGAATGTTATTCTATACTTAGAATATTTGGGGACTTTTTAGTCTAAAATTCTAGAAAAAAATAATTTATATACAGCATACTGTCATATCTGTGATATTTTTAACTTAGAGAAATATGTCATAGGATAGAATCTCATACACACACACATATACATATATATACATATACATACACACACACTCACACACATATATATATAGTGCTGTTTCCAAAAAAAATAAAGTGAGTTAGAGAATTGAGCAATTCTATGAATTGTATCAACACAACAAAATTGTATCTTGGCTAGACTTACATGAAGTTGTGATTTATTACAATCAGCTAAGAGATTATGTCCTACTGCATATAGATTAATTTTTTTTCCAAACGGCAGCAATCGTTTTGTTATGCTTTATATAAGTATCAAAGAAATAGATAACACTGAACTGTTATTAAGGTGGGACAACTGGCACATTGCCTTAGGGTGTAAAAATTTAGAGTACACAAAATAATTAGGCTCCTTCAGCAACAGAAACAAGTGAGCTTGGGGCCTAATCAACAAGAATAATTCATTAAAACAGGAAGCTTCTAGAAGAAAACCTTCTTCCTTCCCAAAGTTTCCCCCTATTTTCCCTAACTGAATTATTCCAGGGAAAAAAAATTGCTAGTTAGATCTCTGAAAACACTCATCATATTGATGCAAATACTTTAATAGTTTGAGGATATGTGTTTTCATTAGTATCATAAGTTTTCATCCAATGACACAGACTGTGAACCCTCTATATTTTAGTAGACACCCATCATGAGCTGCTGTAATTGCTAGGGGAAAAAAAATCATCACTTGGTGGACAATCACCTAGATAAGAAAGTTCTCAAACAGGGTTTGTCCAATCAAATCCAATACAACAAGTATTTTTTAAAATGCCTATTTGTCTGTCAGAGATAGGCCAGCCAAAATGACTAGAAGTCAAACTACAGTAAAAATGAAATGTAAAAACAGAACAATACCAATTTTACTGTACTTCATAGAAACACAGAAATGTTTCAATTTGTTTGCATATATGTGAATATAGTGTTATACATACATATATATTATATATATATATATACACACTGGATACATATATCTATTCATTTTAAGTTTTCATATGTTTTGTTCTTACTTTAAAAACATTTCCAGATTACACACAGTCCATGAGACCTTTCTTATAGCAAAGTAAAACAACTAAGCAAAACTAACAATTGCATGACTTAAATCTGAAAATGTATGCATGCACTTGAACACACACTGACTCACCTTGCATTTTGAGAAGTTATATACAATTCTGAAAAGAAAAAAAAAACATTTCTATTTAATGCCCTAAGAAACACTCTTAAAAGTCCATATAACAAATCACTCATAATTTTTTACTTTCCATTGTAAAAAGAAGTCCCAACATGACCAATTAGAATCCATACCCATCAATCCAGTGTTTGCTTTTATGAATATTTGCTTTTGTGAATGAATGACCCCATGAATGTGATGCTACAGTGACTTGGGCCAAGTCAAACTCACTGTGCTTTTTCAAACAGGCAGCTAAGTAAGAATGTCATCTTTGACTATCACCAGCACTATTTCCCAGTGGCTAGCATCCTTCTGGAATTCAAAGACTACTAGGGGTGGGTAACTTGCAGCTTTGAAGTTTGGATTCAGTCAAAGGGCTGCACTTGAGGACCTAGAAAGCCACATGAGGCCTCAAAGCTGCAGGTTTCCCATCCCTGGAACCAGTCATGAAGTGACTTGATTCAGCTCTAAGTTAGCCAAAATAGTCTAGTGAATGTGCTCTTCCTTCAGTATCTCAAAGTATCTTCAGTATCTCCCAAGTATCTCAAAAAAAATTTGTTCTCATAAGTCACTACTGATCATTAGAATTAGTATAGTATTATACATATAAAAAATGAATTAATATATTAGAATATTTTAGAATTAGATTAGTCCTACATATTAAACTATATTTTATTAGTCCATATTAATATTAGCCCACATTTAAATTAGAATTATTTTAGTTCATATATATCAGAATTATATTTGTCCTCAAATGAATATTAAATCTCTGTTAACTTTGGCAAAACTGCTCACTTTTATTTATTTAATTGCTTTCCCCACACCTATAATTTCACTGCTATTAAGAATTCCTGAGGGGGCAGAGCCAAGATGGTGGAATGAAAGCAGTGACTTGCTTGAGCTCTCCTCCAAACCCCTCCAAATACCTATTAAAAAATGGCTCTAAACAAATTCTAAAGCAACAGAACCCACAAAAAGACAGAGTGAAACAAATTTCCAGCCCAAGACAACCTGGATGGTTGATTAGAAAGGTATATAGCACTGGTCAGGGAGAGGAGCGCAGTTCAGCATGGGCACGCAGGTCACAGAGAACCATGAGCAGGCCTCAGAGTGCTGAATCGCAGGCAGCTCTGGCAGTTTCCATACTTCTCAACCCACAAATGCCAAAGACAACTTAGAAGGTCAGAGGGAAAAGTCTGTGACTGCAGTGAGAGAGAAGCTAAGTCTCAGCCCCAGTTCCTGAGCATGACCTACTTCCTGAGCATGGCCTACTTCCTGAGCATGGCTGCTTCCTGAGCTTCCGGCCTACAGACTGAGGGGGAATCGAGTGGCTGATCAGAGAGAGATTGCAGGGATCTCTTTGCCAGTGCTGAGGCAGGAATCTCTTGCTTTGCTCGTGCTTGGATCTGGGTCACAGTTCTGAGGGGCGGTCCCGGGGCCAGGAGGAGTGCTGGCATGGTGGAGCTTGTAATGACGGTGGAGAAAAAATCTTCCTCACAGTTTCAAGACAGAAAAGAGTGCTTGTGGTCACTCATAGACCAAAGCACAGGCCAGGAAAGCTGTAAAACCTCGCCCCTTATCATACCACCTTGGAAGAACTGAAAATTTACAGGTTCCTAGAAGTATCTCTGAAAACAGCTGCACAAAACCCCCGAAGCTTGTAACAGTACATTCTCCACATTGGAAGCAGACCTCTACCTTAATAAAGAGTTTATAACTCAAGTAATTGGCAGGGATCATGAGCAAACCTCACAAGAAATATTAGACCATATAATCTTTTTTTGGTAACAAAGAAGATCAAAACATACAACCAGAAGAAGACAACAAAGTCAAAGCTCCTACATCCAAAACCTCCAAGAAAAATATGAATCAGTCCCAGGCCTTAGAAGAGCTCAGAAAGAATTTTGAGAAGCAAGCGAGAGAAGTAGAGGAAAAACTGGAAAGAGAAATGAGCGTAATGCAAGAAAATCATGAAAAACAAGTCAACAACTTGCTAAAGGGGACCCAAAAAAATACTGAAGAAAATAACACCTTAAAAAATAGATTAACCCAAATGGCAAAGGAGGTCCAAAAAACCAATGAGGAGAAGAATGCCTTCAAAAGCAAAATTGGTCCAATGGAAAAGGAAGTCCAAAAGCTTACTGAAGAAAATACTTCCTTAAAAATTAGAATAGAGCAATTGGAAGCTAGCGACTTTATGAGAAATCAAGACACTGCAAAACAAATCTAAAAGAATGAAAAATTAGAAAACAATGTGAAATATCTCATTGGAAAAACAACTGAACTGGAAACAGATCCAGGAGAGAGAATTTAAGAATTGTTGGTCTATCTGAAAGCCATAATCAAAAAAAAAGCCTAGACATCATCTTTCAAGAAATTATCAAGGAAAACTGCCCTGATATTTTAGAACCAGAGGGCAAAATAGAAATTGAAAGAATCCACCAATCTCTTCTTAAAAAAGATCCCCAAAGGAAAACTCCTAGCAATATTGTAGCCAAATTCCAGAGTTCCCAGGTGACGGAGAAAATACTACAAGTAGCCAGAAAGAAACAATTCAAGTATTGTGGAAACACAATCAAAATAACACAAGATTTAGCAGCTTCTACATTAAGGGTCCAGAGGGCATGGAATATAATATTCCAGAGGGCAAAGGAGATAGGATTACAACCAAGAATCACCTACCCAGCAAAACTGAGTATAGTCCTTCAGGAGAAAAAAAAAATGGTCATTCAGTGAAATAGAGGACTTTCAGGCATTGTTGATGAAAAGACCAGAGCTGAATAGAAAATTTGACTTTCAAATACAAGACTCAAGTGGAACATGAAGAGGTAAACAGGAAAGAGAAATCATAAGAGACTCATTAAGGTTGAACTATTTACATTCCTGCATGGAAAGATGATATTTATAACTCATGAGACCTTTGTCAGTATTAGGGTAGTTGGAGGGAAAATTATAGGTATGCAAATATATATAATGATAGATAGATAGATAGATAGATAGATAGATAGATAGATAGATAGATAGATAGATAGATAGATAGAGGGCACAGGGTGAGTTGAAGATGAAGGGGTCATATCTGGAGAATAAAATTAAGGGGGGAGAGAGGATTATACTGGGAGGAGAAAGGAGAGATAGAATGGGGTAAATTATCTCACAAAAAAAAACAGAAAAGAAAAGGCTCTTACACTGTAGTGGAAACAGGGGAAGGTGAGAGGGAATGAGTGAATCTTATTCTCATAGGATTTGACTTAAGGAGGTAATAACATACACATCCAATTGGGTATGGAAATCTTTCTTACCATACAGGAAAATAGGGGGAGAAGGGGACAAGAGAGCAGGGGAATGATAGAGAAAAGGGTGGACTGGGAAAGGGGGTAATCAGAAGCAAACACTTCTGAGGAGGGACAGAGCCAAGAGAAAGAATAGAATAAATGGGGGGGAGGGATAGGGTTAAGGAAAATAGAGTTTTTCACAACATGA